TCCCAGTTGAAATAGGCTTTTCTATTTCATTCTATTCATAGAATTTTTTCCTTCTTAAGAAGAAATTAAACTGATTATTAATTGCCTTGCCTTCGACTAGCTCAAGATTTTACCTCATTGGATTAGTTTGCTAATCGTAGAACTCCGTACGCGGGAGCATACACTGTAATACAATTATTTAAACAATTACACTTTTAACTGGGGGAAAAATTTGTCCGTTTTTGATAAATAACGTAATTTTTATTTTTTCGTGACCGAAGCTGTCCGCTCTCAAAGTCAAATCGAGAGAATCCCTCTAGAATTTCTCAAAAAACTAATTTCCACTCTGTCTTTTGATAATTAAACCTGCCCAAAATGGAGCATTGGTAATCAAGAAGATCATTAATAAGGCTCCCATTTCAACCAATCTCGGTTGTTTTCCAAAACCCACGTAATTCAAAAAACCGTACACTCAGCACCTTGTCTGGATGCAACGTAAGAAATTTAAAACTAGACCCTCGTGAAAGCAAATGTGACTTGATATAAAAATCAGACATCCTGGCATGGACCAGTTTAATTAAACAAAAAGCCCATTGAAAAAAAACACACGCACAGATTTGCTCATCTCTTGAATTCCAATCAACCAAATTAACCAAATTAAAACTTGAAGAGCAACACGACCTGCCTGGCAAAACATACTACAACCAAAGAGTAACTAGTAAATTGTTAAGTATTCTTTGCTACAACCTTGACATTTTTTAGAGCTCAAAATTTTTACTTTAGTTATTTTTTGCAGGATAATCGAAAAATTTAATTCGAAACTAAACGCTGTTCTTATAGTACCCCTTTTTAAAAGAAAGAAAACTTGAAGAGATTTGAAAAACAACAATAAAAAAAGCAGGTGCTTTCCCTAAAAAAATTTCAAAAATATCAAAAAATCTTCGTTCCGTGTAGGAGATTTGCTTATTTTTGTCTTGATAATTCATATGATTAATGAGTTCATTTGTAATTAGTCAGTTTCCTTTGAGTTAGCTTAATTGCAGTATTCAAGAGAATTGGAAACTGTTGTTAATTTTAAATTATCATGCTAGTTCTCATCATTTAACGTTGGATAATACTTCGTTATTTAATTTCGAGTAGATATTTTCAATGTAATCGAAAATCTCAAGGTGATGACCACTGCTTCTGAACTGTCTGTCTTTCCTATAAGTACAAAACAATAAGTCAATTCAGAGTGACCATGTACACTATACAGAGTGCCCATTATGTATGGAATATAGTATATATCCCGGTAAATATCGACTGTATACAAAATTTTTCTATATAAAAGTTGTTTGACATTTTATTTCTCATAATAAGTAAGCATTCTATTGTTTTTATTTCAGAAAACAACTGAATAACGAAAAACAATTGAATATTTTTAAATAGCAATGCACACTTTCATTAGGCTCATTTGATAGAGATTTTTTTCTCTTTTCGATGATGTAACATGTTAGTACTTTAATAATAAAAAATTTTTCAAAAAAACTTATAATCACATCAATAACATTAATCTAGATATCCTACATCACAATAAAACAAATGAATGTGTACGTTTGTCAGCATTTTATTGCTAATTTCATTTTGTCTTCAAGGTTTAATATGAAACGTACGTGTTCATTTGTTTTATTTTGATGTAGGATATCTAGATTAATGTTATTATAATACATTTTTTTGAAAAATGTTCTTGTATTAGGTTACTAACATGTTACATAATCGAAAAGAGAATTTAAAAATCCCTAATCAAATGATCCTAATGAAAAGGTGCACTGCCATTTAAAAAAATTCAATTGTTTTTCGTTACTCATTTGTTTTCTGAAATAAAAACAACTGAATGCTGCCTTATTATGGGAAATAAAATGTTAAACAACTTTCATATAAAAAATTTTTGTATACATTCGATATTTACCGAGATATATATTATATTCGATACATAATGGGCATGGACACCCTGTATGTAATGCGTTATCTCTGGAGTAAGTAATTTCAAAGTAAGTCAACATCATATTATAGTCATACATTCTTATACCTACAATCCCAACATATTATTGAATTGGCCTTAACAAATCTTGGTCAAAAATTTAATCCGAAACTAAACGCTGTTCTTATAGTACCCCTTTTTAAAAGGAAGAAAAATTGATGAGATTTGAAAAACAACAATAAAAAAGCAGGTGCTTTCCCTAAAAAAATTTCAAAAATATCAAAAAAATTCTTAAAAGAAATCAAACACCCTAATCAGCCACTCCTAAACCTACTAATCCTTATACATAAAAATGGCAGAACCCCGAAAGGTTCTAAACATTTTAAAAAACTAATGTCAAAAAACTACATACAAACCCTACACCTATTGAATAAAAAAAAACAAATTATGTACATTTCACTTAACTTCCTAATAATCTTCAAGAAACTTCACTAACAAATTTCACTTCGTGACTTCTTGTAATTTCATTATATAAAACAGCTATATGTATATAACTTCACTTCGCTACACTTACCTTCAGGTTACTAGACTAAACGTAAAGCCCATTTTACATGCCAAGAGTTGTTTTATGACAGGCCAAATTGAAATAACTTTGCGGAAATTTTTTAAGTGACACAGGCTGCAATTTACTTCACTTCCAAGCGAAGTTTTGCTAATACCAACCTAAAAAATATAGGCTAGATCGACGCCTTTCATAATTTGTTTCTCTTTTATTTCTGTGCAGTTATAATTTTCGCTTAATGATCTGCATTTACAGCACAAATGTCCATCGGACCACAGAAAACATAACAATCTTAGAGTTGGTAATCCTAAGATTTCAGCTGAAAGTGAAACATTTCACGGAACTCTATTTCACTTTCAAGAAAGGCACCTATTGCGCATGCCTTCGGCTAAGAGAACTTTAAGTTTTACAAAAACTTTCAGCATGTAAATACATTTAATTAGATGTATAGATATCAAACTATTTACACTTTTCACTTCAATCTTCATATTATGGTTCTTTCACAATATTATACTTTTTGCTTCTTTCTTTCTTTTCTTCCAGTTTCTATCTTACCACTGGAACTTGTTCTTCTGTAATTATTTCTTGAAATCCCCTCTTGTTCAAAAATCGTGTAGTATAAATCTTAACTCCTTTAATACTTCTAACTTCTTGACTAATTTCTTTATTTGTTTTTGGTAATTATTCTATTTGGAATACTGTGCTAATTTCGCTTCTTCTTTTTAAATATTCATCTTCTTTTCTTCTTCAGTTTATCTTCTCTATAATCCTCACTTCTTATTCTAATTTTTTGTTCTTGTCTTGCTTCCTTTTTTTCTTTAAAGATTCTTGCTCTACAATGGTTACTCTCTCTTTTTTTTTCTTGTCAAGTTTTAAATCGCTTATTACAAATTTTCTTGTGCTTCTAGTTCCTCCAACTTTTTAAAATGATTGGTTGACTCCTCATGATTCTTTTTTCTTTGTCTTCTTCAGTTTCTATATATTGTTTTCAATCTTCAATTAACTTATTTCAGTTTTCTTCTTGGATACTAACTTCTTTAATCTACTGTTTCTTTTTTGTCTTTTGTATTTTCTCCAAAATGTTTGTCACCTCAGTTATGATATGGAATGCTGACCCAATCAAAATATTTTCGACTTCGCTAGGAAAATGGCTGGACAAGTTGTCCTTCTGTAAGTGGTGGTTGTAGGTGGATAGTTTTGTTCACCCGGTACCATATATTGTCGGTATACTTCCCTAATTTGATTACTTATTCAATGATGGTACTTATCTTGTTTTCCTTATCGGCGGTTAATACGATGCTACAATAGAAAGCACTTACCATCACCTTCTTTTTCCGATTCCTTCTCCTAGAAGATAAATAAATATCTCTGGAAGCTACAATTTTTCGTAATGAAGCGGTTCGATTCCATCTATGTACCGGGTGTTCATTAAAGATGGTATCATTCCTTTACGAAAACGAGTGATTCGTTGCACCTCGACCTACCCCCTTTATAGCCATAATTCTATAGTTGGGGTACATATCAGGAGGTCGGGTGTTCGAACTTGGGCTGAGGTAAGAATTTTTCATCTGTGGCAGAGATGACAATTTCCTTAGTTCAGTTTAGAGCATTCTGCCGGCTACTCCGAATTAGGTTTTCCTGCAGTTTGCCTGATTCGCAAGGGTAATACCGGAGTAGTATAGAATAACTCAAGCCCTCTAAAAATCATTATGCGGGTCACCCTGTAATTTGACGCAAGCAAGTTGAGGGCCCAGATCAAGAGAGGGATAATAATAAATAAATAATAAATGAATAGTTCTATCAAATCCCTAATGTAAGAGATCGTAACTATCCCTTAATTTAGCACATCCGACCCTACCCATTAAGAAACTAACAAAATTTCAACACTCCGCCGCGGGCTCCCATTACAATTCCTAACAGTCAAAGCTTTTGACAATTGGTGGTTCGAAAAAAGGATTCGAATCCACTTTTCGATTTCTCGGCGCTGATTACAATCTAGCTTCAGTCAGCTAAAAGTATATTTTCAAAAAACGTCAATTTTGATTTGGAAACCTATAATTACCATCAGCTCTAGCAGATAATCTATCGTAAAGGAAGGCTTTCTCTTCCTAGATCTGAAGTTACCGTGTGACTTAATTTTGGGGGACGTATCTACGACGTAATGAGAGTGTACGCGCCTTTCTGCCAGTAGTTTCAAAAAATTCATTATCTCAGAAGAAAGCTAAGGAAAATATTAGGGTGGCATTTAAAAAAATAGCAATGATGTGTCAGGTCTATTATTATAATATAAAGGTTAATCTACAATGTGAAGGTTTTTCCAGTATTGTCTCTCATTGCCATCGTAATTTTTTGCACCATCAAACTCGCTGAAAAGGTTGTTTTACAGTCGCTGGACCAAATTCAAAAGCTAATATCAAATTGATTTCTATCGGTTCATTAAAAAGAGTAATTACAATTTGTTTTTTTAACGCATGATGTAATTCCCAATCGTCATTTCCTACAGTAAGTGGCCCCATATAATATAAACGCGGTAGCACTAACCTACTGTTAGTACACAGTTCTACAAGATGAAATACTGCGCCGCTTTCGCTCTACTACTCGTCGCCACCCTGCAAGTTTCCGCAGAAGATGACATGGTGAGTATATTTCGATTTTGATCGTTTTTTAATTGAACATCCGCAGGCCGAATATCGGAAATTAGTCACCAGTTGCGCCGAAAAAGAGGGAATCTCCCCTGACGTTCTTAAAGAAATCGAAACTACTGGAAAAAGACCCGCATATTCGGCATTGAAGTGCGTAGATAAATGCATACTGGAGAAAACGGGAGTACTCGGTGCCGATGGAAAAGTCGACGTTCCTATGCTGATTAAAAATTGCTTAAAACATCCCAAGCTGGACCAGGCTAAATGCGAGCGCATTATTAAGGAGTGCCCGCACACCGATAAGGGGGATAAATGCCTTATGTCCTATGAAGGTGCAAACTGCATGCATAACAACCTCGCTAAGGTCTTGATGCAATAAAGGATTAATGCTTGTTAGAGGTAGAATGAATATAATACAGAATATTTTTAAAAAGTTGTTTTTTTAAAGTGCGTCTTTCAGACCCAATCTCCTCCCTTTTATTTAAGTACCTACATCTTTGTACAACCTCCTGTAGATTTCGATTACACTGTATTTTTCACCCCGCTGGACCTAGCCCCCCCACCATTGTGAATCAATTTAAGAATTGTATCCAATTTATGAGCTATTTAGGAGCTTTTCATATCGCAAGCTTAAAATTTTAGAGCTCGCTTTAATCACTAGGAATCGAACATTTCTTATGGGGTGGCCGAGTCTACTTGGACTCAGCCCCCCCACTGATTAGAATTAGTTTTTTCAAATTAAATTTTGTACTGGAATTACGAGCTATTTAAGAGCTTTCATTTACAAGTAATTTCGATTTTTGAGCGCCACCCTTAAAAGAGCAAATAGATATAATCTATGGGGCGGCCAGCTCCACTTGGACGTAGCCCCTCCTCTGTTATCGTTTACTTATTTCAAATTAATTTTTATGCATGAATTACGAGCTATTTAAGAGCTTTCATTTACAAGCAAATTCGATTTTTGAGCGCCACCCTTAAAAGAGCAAATATATATAATCGATGGGGCGGCCAGTAATTGCAATTTAAGAGCGTCACTCTTAAAAAGAGCAAATAGATGTCATTCTGGGAGCGGCCAGGTCTATTCTGGCGTACCCCTGATCTGCTTTTCTTTATTTATTACAAATTAATCTAGGTCCATGAATTACGAGCTGTTGAAAAGTTTTCATTTAATAAGTAAGTCTAATTTTGGACCTCCACCCTCAATATGTCAAATATTCAATCGTTGAGGGCGGCCAGGTCCATTTCACAGTAGCCTTACCTCTAAGCTACCGGTTAGTTGCATCAGCACGTACTCTCTGTGAGTTTTGTGTGCATTTGTTTGTGTAAAAACTAAAAAGTGAAAACTTGGGGTAGTCTTGAATGTTTTCTCATCAGTAGCTATAATCGGACTAATTTATCTCTTCTTTTGATCTATTACGGAATCCAGAAGCGTTTCTTTTTGTATCGTAACCTAGAGGGCCGAAGTAGATGCGTGGCTCAATAGATGATCAGCAACTACTGGCTCCAACTTCGGAGCACCGGGCGCCACATCGTAGTATTAAGTCGCCTCGTGTGCAGGGGGCTCGACGCGTGTGGACATTTCTTTCCCCCATACTCGTGGCACTCTTATGGCCCAAGAAAAAACAGAAAACACAACAAACTACTCCGAGAGCACCGATATTAAAGAGCCTAAAAAACTCTCCGGAGCGGCGCACCGGAAGCTAGTAAATGAGGCTCTCGGTAAGAGGACATATGGCGAATCAAAGCCTGGATCCTTGACATAGTCGACGCTTTTCCCCAATTTACGGAATGTCGCCACAAGGGAGAGCGCTGCTGATCACATGCGCAATCCATGGTATCGGTGAACTGCTTGAGGTCAGAGCTAGCGAGGGCAGCTCCAGGTGGGGGGGGGGGCGAGATTTTGATTCTTCGAAACGAAGACCGTAAGGGCACACGCCTCGATCCTCAAGTGGAACCTGAGAAGATCCCCAAAAGGATCGAAAGCCAAAATGCTGGAGAATAAATGATGCAGGCTACACCACAGTGTTGCCTTTACCGATGATATAGTGATTGTAGTACGTAGGGGATTTGAGGAGACAGTTCAGTCATCGAAGATGAGGGCTTGTCTGTTAATTCAACAGAAACAAACCTCATTAGCTTTTCTCACGTACAAAAGGGCCGACAAACCTAAAGGACGTTGTAATGTAGAGCACAGGTACTGAGAGAAGGTAAATACTTGGGCATCACGTTCGGCCAAGCGCCTAACTTCAAATTACAAATGGAAAAAATAGCGAAAACAACGTCACAAGGTCCCTGGATATACACTAAAATAATTATACCAGTTATTACGTATGCGTCACTGGTGTGGTAGAATCAGACCTTCAGCCAGAAGAACATACAGATACTGATCAAGCTGCAGCGTACAGCTTGCCTTAGAATTACGAGGACAATGATAACGTCCCCGGCAGTAGCTATGGAGACTATATGAACTGACCGCCACTACACCTGGTAATTATGGCAGAGGCATTCAGACGGACGTACTGGCTGAGAGTTAATGGAGAGGAGGAATCGTCAAGGGTGCATTCACTTAATCTTTGATGAAATACGTCGGTAGGATAACTGAGAGGATAACCAAAACAGTTTGTGATAAAAAAAAACTGTTTAAGATGATAATCCCCGCTCGATACGGATGGTAGGCAGGATAATACTAGTAAGGTAAAGCTGAATGGAATCGTGTATTACACAAATGGCTGAAAAACTACGGAGGGCACCGGCTGTGGAGTGTACGGAAGCAATTGACAGGGGTTCAGAATCTAGGACAAAATTATTTTAGTTTATTCTGTTTTTTTTTGAACGGAATGTGAATAAAGGCCATTATTATTATTATAAAAAGCAAACTTGCTCCAAGCCGAGGTATACGCAATCCTGACGGCAGTTGCTCAATTATATTAACAGAAAACCTTACTAAAAGGAAAATCTTTAGAGTAACAGACAACAAAGCACCGATTGCAGAATTAGACTCATATGTAGTCGATTCAGGACTTTTCCTTGGATGCACAAAAGTACTAAACGCACTAGGAAGCTGTAACACAGTCACAAGTGGAACTGGCCGACCCATCGATTATATCTATTTGCGCTCAAAAATCGAAATTGCTTGTAAATGAAAGCTCTTAAATAGCTCGTAATTCCAGTACAAAATTTAATTTGAAAAAGTAATTCTGATCAGTGGGGGGGCTGAGTCCAAGTAGACTCGGCATAAGGAATGTTCGATTCCTATAGGGATTTAAGCGAGCTCTAAAATTTTAAGCTTGCGATATGAAAAGCTCCTAAATAGCTCATAAATTGGATACCATTCTTAAATTGATTCACAATGGTGGGGGGGCTAGGTCCAGCGGGTTGTATTTTTCAGTGAGTACACGTGTGAATAACCATCATTACTTGCACGGAGTACCCTCCATATAATTGTAGTAGTTCCTTGATCTATTCTAAGTATATTTTATCCTTTGATGATTTTTTTAAAGTAGTTTGTTGCGAAGATACAAGGTAAACCATTTTTCAACAATAATAACAATTTATGACTCAAAATTTCATGTATCATTTCTTAATCTACAAAATGGTTACCCCCAGTTCGGATGCAACCATCCTTCCCCTCGTCAACTCCAGGACTCTGTCAAAAACACCAGGGTCGTTCCTTATTGAGTAACACGCAGCAATTATCCGGTCTCTTAAATTGTCCACATCTTCCACTGGCCTAGTGTAAACTAATGATTTTGGATAGCTCTATAGGAAATAATCCAGGGGGTATAAGTCCGGGGATCGAGCAGGCCATAAGTGAGGTCCACCTCGACCAATCTAGCAATCTTCGGAATGTTGCTAAGATAGCAACTCCTACTTTTTCACCCTGTATCTTTTCTACAAAGTGCCTTTTCAAAAATCCTCAAGGGTTAATTATCCTTATAACAGTCCAAGAAATCACCTCTTTAGTTTTTGCCTCATGTTTAGCAAACATCCTGTATATATATAGGTCGAAGTTATGTTTGGGTGCACGCGGATTGTTGGATTTATTATTAAGGAGATCTTCTTCCATCAAGAGTTTTGAACCTTTTTGACGTTAATAAGTGTCTGAATTGCTATTACTGAAATGTCGCTTTAGCGAAGGTGAAGGCTGTTTGTAACCCCCATGTTCCTTCTGGACAATTTTTCACGCCTCGTTATTTGGATTTCGATTAAATGGGGCAAGGGTGCTTCATATAAGCCGAAAGCTAAAATGAAACCACTTCTGGTCTGGAATACCTTTTTACAAAATTTAATAAAGCTGCATTTGCATTCTTCTAATTTCTAATTTTGCAAGAAAAGTAGTAGAAATTCGTGATCCAACCTTTAAAGAGGAATTTAAATATGATTTTCGACTTATTCTGAATTGATGCCAAAACAGAACACTAACATATGTTTTATTACCGTCAAACTGTTAGAGTTAGTTAAATGTGTAAAGCATTTTCTGTAACAGAAAACAGCACAATAATAGTTATTTATGTATTAAGGGCATAATCAAAAGATTATGGCACGAGAGAATGTTTAAAGCCCGACGAAGGAGGGCTTTTAATTTCTCGAGGGCCATAATCGATTATGCCCGTGGTACATACACCGTTTTATTCTATTTTAGCACAATTTATAAAAAGTTAAAAGGGATTAGTAGTTCTTCTAGGAATTTATCCCTAACCAAATATTAGTGGTATAGATTATAGTTGGCGTTTTTTGTGTTGCTATGGATACTGAGACTGTGACTTAAAGAAGTCTTGGGTACTTCAAAAAAAGGAAATTCAAGATTAGGTGTTGGTTCATGATGTTACAATTTCTAATCTAAGCAATTGCACTTTTAATTTCTATAAATAACGTGATTGTATGATTGTTCTGAATAATAAATGTTTGATGGTTAAAGTAATCGTTGCTAGGCAATTTTTGACATTTCTGTGCCATAAAGTCCAATTAAAACCCTCAATTGGGTGCTTATAAAAATGATTATAATCTAAAATAGAATAAACAAAATAAAAGGGGTAGTGAATAGTGCGGCACATAAAATATTGCGTATTATCGAATATAATCGGATAATAAAACTGTAATTAATGCTCTAAAGGAATCAGTAATTCTAATGACTACACTAGCAAATATTCTTATCGCATTGACCAGATAAACCTTTTAATATAACCCCGCCCACTCAAAAATAAAGGCAAAATAAACTAAAAATAAAAAATATAACGGGAAAATCAGATATTTCTACCTTCTAAGATGTAACTTCAGTTTTACAGCTAAATAAACAAATCAAAAATAACAAATTACAAGGCGATCAATTTAAAAAAACTTAAACATTTAACAATCCTTATACAAAACAACTTCCAATTCAAATGAAAACAATGAACTTCGTGTTTAATTCAAACCCGGGAA